TGACTGCACCCAAATAAGAATACGGTATGTGGCTGGGTAGCCAGTAGTTATGCATGTAGTTAGATTTTACTATATATATTTAGAAAAATCTATACCTTTTAATTAGGCTGCTTCGCCGCAGATAAAAATCAGTAAGGTCAGTTTTTGATTTAAACGGAAGAGTTCATTAGCCTTGTGATAAGGCAATATTTACTCTTGGAGTAAGCGGGTTGCGATGCGCTAAGCTCGTACTTGTTCTAGGTATAGAACGAAAGATCGTGACATACCTTACGCTTCCACAAAGCGCAAAGCTACGGCAGCCGCGCTGCACTTGGTTAAAATCTTAATACATGCATAACTACTGGCTACCCAGCCACATACCGTATTCTTATTTGGGTGCAGTCACACCCTGCCCATCTCGTGTGACACACACCCCTGTTTCCAGGGTACGTGTAACCCCGTTACATAAGATGCTGACCGCAACGCAGAATTGATGTTTTGTGTACTAGTCGGAACACTGTTACAATTCTTCAAATTTTGCGCTGCAAAATCCAATATTGATCTAGAGCAGTATACATAACTAGTATGTACCATCCCAATCTCACTTTCTATTGCTCACTGTCTCTCAGCGCGTCATAATAAATAGGCTAGTTATGCGTGCTATTATCAGGCGAGCACTACGAAATTAAGTACAACACAAACGTGTAACCTTGTAACAGCGACAGCCACGCAACCACTGCCAGCACTATAGCGCAGACCTTCGCGAGGCTCAGCCTAATAAATCTATACGAATCACAGTTGTCGTAATGCGGATAGTTGTCGACCATCGCAAACATTTTGCATAAGCAGTACTGCGAAAAGTTAAGACTGGCATCTGGATGCGCTCTAAAACAGCGCCTGAATAAAATACCACATCACCGACGTAATTTGTATGGCAACGACAGCAAAACGTGGTCAATGGATTAAATGAGCTCCAGAACTGATCCGGAATTGATTGCCATGAACTCAGGTCATCAAAAAGCTTCCTAGCGATAACAAACCCGACAGAGACGCGGCCAGGATTGCACAGCACAATCCAGCTCTAAGAAAATATAGAAAGTCTCGACTGAGCTAAATGTTTTATATAAAATCAACAGAGGTCGCTGGGCTTCACATACACAGATAAGCATTGTCCATCACGAAAAACAACGGACAGACCAGCTCACTTACCATCAAAATTTTGTCTCCTTCCTGTACGCCTTCTGGATTCTTTGAGCTCTTTTAAAAGAGATTTTTGCAATATTCATATTTATTTCTATTTGTCTCCCTTCACGAAAAACAAATCATTTCTTCCTTAGTCTAAATTAATGTAGTTGGGTATGAGCAGCCTCTGATAGTCGTCTGGGTTTTGCAATACGAACAGTAGGCTTGTGTACCGAATACTGGCCCAAAGCAACTTTATGTCAGCACCACTTGAGATCGAAAAGGCTGCAAACGAACAGAACATAAGGTATAAGTTTGCCAGAAACCTGTCTAGCATGGATGGTCAACTTTAAAATAGGAGGCCGGATAGGTGCAAATCAAGTTATGAATTTTTACTATATTTGAAATTAATCAGATACGTTCTAGGTGCACTAAATTTAATATAGATAAGCAACTGGGTTTTATAAAATATAAACTTGTTTGTTCAGAAGGTACCCTCAAAAGCCTGGCGCTCTATGATTATGAAATCGATTTTTGGCCTACCACCAGACGAACGGGCATTTTGAGCTTTGTGAACAGACTGAGCAAGCTGGTGCGTTTCGTTGCGGTTAAGGCCTGGGTCACGACCAAGGAACCTCATCACTGTTTTTCATGTGTTTTCTAACACCATAGACTGCCAAAACACATTATTTCGATCCCAACCCCGAATTCTAACAAGACTTTTGAGTTCATCAGCCGGGTATACATCTTCTCATGTGGCCGGCGACCCAACTGAAATCGGATGAGCAAAACGGAAATAGTCAATGCGTATCGAAATGGCATTATGCCGTTATGCCACGTTGTTAAGGTCCAGAGTTCCTTCAGTCTATAACGCCGTCCGCTTCCACCAACGCAAATGAATGGTTTCGGAGTGGCTGCATTACGCCGTCCGGAACGCCGAAGTTATATATAATGCGTGCAGTTTAGCCGAAAAAGCTGTGAGTTATAATTATGAGATTGATTTGACTATGAACATAGCCGATGTGGAGGAATTTTGCTGAACCAAAAGCCATCGCGCGTTCACATGTCTCTGCTATGACTTCGAAAATGATGATTACTTGATCTTCTGCTGTGGATTTGCCTTGCAAAGGACGGACTACGACAGTGATGACTCTCTTAACGCTTGCAAGCACTCGATTGACGACCATCAGCAAGGCGCTTGTCATACTAGGAGCGCCGATAGAAAACAGGCCACCGCCACTCAACTCGACTTGCATAAATATCTGTACCCTATGGTTTCACTGCTCCTGAATGAAACGCAGTGTCGTGGTAGTGCGTATATCTTTAGAGCAAGTACTCGAGGCACGAGACAAAGGCGTCGCCGCTTCCGTATCAGTCCGCATACCCGCACGCGCAGCCGTGCAATGGAATGCTGGCTCTGCGTAATCTTACGTGTGTCAAGCCACGACGCGAAGTATCCGAGACCTTCGCGTCTTGAAGCATTGCAACGTCAAATTTTGAATAGTAGACCGACGGACTCACCAGGACTGTTACGAGAACTCGGTGAAGTCGAAGTGATCACCTCACGATAGGAACATTTGGGGGCATACGTTGATAATATTTCACTAGCGTCGATACCACTGACGACTTACAATCCTATCTTCTTTCTATACCGGAGAAAGTTCCGAAGTCACTCAGTGTAACCCACTTCTCACTAGTGATTGAAACCAGGTTTGGTCACGAGCTTAAAATTTGTATTAGCAGCTTATTGAAATGGCTTCCAGCAAGATCGTAAGGTTGTGAGCGTCCGCCGCAAAGACTTTATTTTACTTTAACGCTGAAACGTGAAACTTTGAACGATGCTTTTTTTTAGTACAATGTCTGCTTCACTGAAGCTGGCTACAATAGTATCCATCGTTACTTTTGCCAGCATGCCGTACTTGATGTACATCCCGCAAGGAGGGTCCGAGCTCGATTAACCGCTGTAGCTCGAGACGCAGGCGGTACTCTTCAGAAGTGCTTGCCCTAAATGTAAGCGACCACTCGCAAAGCAACTGGTAAGCACTCCTTTCGTTCTCAGTGCGAGAAAAAGTCCGCGTGCATAAGAACTACAATAAGCCGTACTCATCTATTTGAGGCTTTGGATACAGCTGTCGGCCAAGTCTGACACTTGGCCGCAATCCAACCACGAGAGCGAAGCGGGGTACGCTGGGTAGCCATAAATCTTTTCCTAGGAAGGTGAATGCAAAGATCACGTTCAGTCAGAGGCAGCAAAGACGCTAGTTTAATCTTTTGCCGTAGAACCTCAAGACAAAGGTTTTTAGTGAGATTATCCTATTGACTTCATCAGATACAGCTTACAACAATGGTGAACCCGTCCGTCCACCAGCCAACCGACTGAGAAAGAGGCAGGCCAAAACGCATCGAGCATAGTCGGCAAAAAATAACCCTCTCACATTTACTTCTCAAGTTGCTTCTCTGTCATGGCGACACGTCGAGTTTCCTGTCAGTCTCGTGCGTGCCGCCGAAACTGACATGAGACATCTTTTATATTGTGCTTTATGGGCAGTGCAATTGAACCGACTGACTCGAGGCTCCGCAAGCGGATCAAAACCGGATCACTGCTGGGGGCAGCGAAAAGCTAAACAATGAAGAATAAACATTCGATTAGTTTCATAGAATACTTTGCTTTCGAAAAGTTTGTATGAGCGGGATTATGGTATGGCTTAAGTAAGCCACCAAATGCAACATACTATGATCGCACTACCTTTAGATACTTAACTTAATATCTTCTGGCTACAGATCCTTGCATTCTTATGCAGCATGTCATAATCTCAACACAAGCAAGTTCTCGAGCTGATACCAAATGAGCAAAGCCCCTTTTCAGGTACACTATTCGCGGCGACGGCGTGGCTGTATCACTAAGCTAATGTAACAGCTTTAACACAGCCCTTTCACCCAGCAGATATACGTGTTTTCGTCTGCCTCTATCTGTAATTTTTCGTTGCACGTCCAGTCTCTCAGCCATTGCGCGCCTACCCGACGCAGCATGCCAGATTTCGTCGAGATAAAAGAGTTGCTTTTGTAACGAAGTATTGTCGTGCAAATAACAATAAGTCAAAACGTGTTGTAGCCACTACTCACTAAACCAGCGCCACATCATGGCTGTGTTAAAGCTTTTCTGATGTCGTTCCAACCGTATATGATAAATGAGACAAAGCGTAATGCATGCATTGTTTGATGTAGCACAAAAGTAATCAGTGAGGACAACTCGTTCAAGCGCCCGCGAGCCTCGTATCAGGCGAATTGTGGGTATTCACAATTTTGAGGGGGGAGAATATAACGGGGTTACAGTACGGGGTTACAGTACCCTTGTATGAAAGGGTAGGTCACACAAGAAGGTGTGACCGTACAAAGGTGTGGCTACACCGTAACAAGAAGCTACTATGTGGTGAGTTATGCATATTGATTATATTTTCCTATTTGATAAAAGAAATCTATGGTTTTAGATATAGGCGGCTCTGCCGCAGATAATACAAATAAATACCGTTTTTATTCTAAACGGAAGATTGTATTTGCCTTGGGTAAGGTTGAGTACACTTTGAGGTAGCGGATTGTGATTCGCTTCATTCATGCTGGTTCAGCTTAATTTTGACCGATTCTAGCTGTTGAGATTGGTACCTCTAACGCCTTCACGGCCCTCACGATCAAACTACATACGGGCTTAGCACACAGCAAGGTCACTGGCGTCGCATACCACGTAAAAAGGTCTAATGTTGTCCAGAAAGTACCAAATTGAGGCTTGAGATAAGCTCGCATTTACCGCATCATAAGCTGCCTGGTGTATCGGACTCCACTACCACGTTACGCCTTTCTTCAGCAAAGAGAGTAGTGGTTCGTGCAACTCTTTGTGTTTCTTTGAAGCTGATGCGCAAAACCATTTCACTGCCGCAGCTCCCTAGGTTTTTCGGGGATCGGCTAGGATTTCATCAAGGAGATTTTCTATGGGTCCACGCCAACTAGGACACAAAAGCGAAATCTTGGGTGCAGAAAAGCCACAACTTCTTACGTTTGCGTGTGACTTGTTCTTGCACACTACTTATGTAAGCGTTTTAGGCGGGAAAGGTAAATTTCTACCACGCTGAGAGCGCGCTCAGCGCGACTGTGAACCAACATTTTGTTGAAAAAGCTTTAACCAAATTCACGATGTAGGCGGGGTACTTGGGCGACATGCGATTTGACATGCAATGGTGTTCTTGTACGCTTGTACCCCTTGGCAGTACCCCTGCTCGACCACCTTGAAAATTCGCGAGAACCTCATATGCTCGACCGCGCTGTCATCAATTGACATTGCACATACGGTGCACAGGCGGCCATCGTCATCTCAATGTATGGTATTTGTAAAGGCAGATTGATCCGCGGCACGAATGTGCGGCCAGTCTGTCGGTGCGACGAGTAGGTATGTGAATACCGAGCTCATATCAAAGTCAGCCTGACACTTTGCTGATCAAGCCAACCAGTCATCTTTCGGTTTGTCCACGGTAATCATCAAAAGACAAATTTTACTCAATCACCACGAGGTTTCTGTCTGCTTCGAAATCTGTCGAATGTGTACGGAAAGGAAACGATGCGTCGGGTCTCGCTGGGGATTATCAATCAGCAAGGATGACAATGATTTGACCCTGATTGTTGCAAATCAAAATTGATGCTAATAGTATAGGCAGACGCGAACCTCCATTAAAAATGGACAAGGATGGAGAGCCCGGGGGAGTCTTTGAATGCCAGCAACATGAATGTTGATAGGTATCAGTCTCGAGTCGCCGCTCGCGGTGGTGGCATTGAGTTTGAACTCTGACCTCGATGGATGGGAGGAAAGGTCCCGACCGGGAACGGACTCGGCTCTCTACTCCAGCCTGTAGGGCGAGTCGCGACTACAGGCCTCCTTTGTCTATGGGAATAACGGTCTCAGCATTCAGCCGTGAACACCGACTCCATCAACATAGATGGGCGCTGGCATGCGGCAAACGGTGGCGCGGTGCCCCGATTTGCCACACCCGAAATATTTCAAGGTGGCTCAAAATCGCATGCCGCGGTGCGGTGAGTGACCGCGGCTAGGAGATAGACCGATGGTGTCGGTCTTCATCAGAACTGGCGACGGCACAGGAGTCTTGGCCGGCTTCGCCTTCGGATAGAATGACGTAACGCTATCGTTCTCGTAGCAAACCCCTCCTCAAGCGTCGAGAGAGCCGCACGCATAGTGCACAGCGCGTTAGATTTTTGTGCTGGCCGAAGACGAAAAAATGCGCTTGTGAAGCGATGTCGACGGGGTTAACGACAATATTAAACCTACCCTGCATCGGAGCGAAGAAGTCTGTCCGCATGTGTGACTCGCCTTCTGGTGGTATGTGGGCCAGCTGAAGGTCACTCCGGATATTCTCCAGAGATAGAATGGCATCGGGGTCAGCGACACACCTCCCGAGAGCCCAATCCCTCACCATACCCGTAAGGCTAGACCATGTCGTATTCAGCCAATGACAATCACAATAAGGAATCGCACGGCAGAATCTATTGATGTTTATTTATGGGAAGTGGTAAGAAAAAGAATAGTCTCCAGGCTGCGTTTCAAGAAGCAATAGCAAATACCCATTATGGTTAAATTATTCGTATATCCAGGTTGTGTGGTCTAGGACTGCGCCTAGACCTCAGTGGGCGGTATGTCGATCATGGCCATCTCGACCTTATTGAATGGACTACAAAGTACTACCAGGTGTAACGGAGCTAAAGATCACGCTCTTATAGCATACAGTGTTTATTACATCGCAAATTGAACTGCCTCCTTTTTCGTGTTGTTAGTCATTCCCATCTTTGAAATGTAACTACTGTATTAATACTACTAATTAGCAGTACTAGAAGTAAAAAACTCCTACATACTATATTTGATATTCTTCTGATAATTTGTATAACGCGCAAACCACTTTGTTTGTTTGCTACAAATCGTACAGAAGAACCTCAAGAGCAGTATGTGCTCAAAGAGCGTTCACGTTTTAGCAATGTTTTGTACACTTTGTACAAAACATTGCTAAAAAAATGGGGTATTAAATATGTACAAGTGCTTGTATATATTTAATTATTGTTTTGAACATAACTCGAAATTTCCAAGGTCAAGAGGTGTATATAACTTCTGGCACGGATTACGGTAATAAAAATTCATTAACCAGCGGTCATGGGACGCGAGAGGTGCTGGTTTCACGCAATACATATGACCCTAGTATTGTAGATAATTTAACATGTGTATAACTTTGTTCGTAATATGCATCACATTTGAAATAAAAATTTAAATACTTCAAAAATAGTTCGTTGGCTCTCCTTCTGAGAAGAGCGTACGATCCGAACGTCTGTGCATTTGTTAGCAAGGACTCATTGAATTTATGTGCGGGATATACGGCAATCGTGTTATGTCTATAAATTTAACCGCCAAATATATCACTATTTTGTTGGACTGACTTTTACGAGACTCCGAACAGGAGGTAAAGATGATAGTGATCATGTGGGATAGTGATCATGTGGGATAGATATAGTGAAACGATTTGGA